TCTCTCATGTGGATGTCTCTCTCTCTCTCTCTCTCTCTCTCTCTCTCTCTCTCTCTTCCCCCACCCCTTCCACTCTATCTAAAACATCAGTGGAAAATATCCTCGGGTGAAGATTAACAACAAAAATAAAAATATGAATCACAAAGTTAGAGAACATTGCTAGCAAGTATACAACTCTTAAAATCAACTTGATTTAACTTGATTTACTTGATTTTAGAGTTGTATACTTGCTAGCAATGTTCTCTAACTTTGTGATTCATATTTTAATTTTTGTTGTTAATCTTCACCCGAGGATATTTTCCACTGATTTTTTAGATGGGGGGGCACACAACATCCACGTGAGAGAGACACATCGATTGGTTGCCTCCCACATGACACAGACAACAAAGCTGGGTATGGGGTGGGGGGGATGGAGAGGAGGGTGTCAATGGAGAAAAAAAGGAAAAACATCTGTAACAAAAATAAATTAATAAAAAATTTAAAAAATAAAATATGCATAGTGATGAAAGTGTTCTAAAACTGGATTGTGATAATGGTTGCATAACTTTGGGAAATGTAAATTTCCCCCCAAAAAATCATTAAATTGGTGCACTTACAATGGGCGAATCTTATGGCAAATAAATTATATCTCAGTAAAGCTATTAATAAATATACATAAGCCCTGGTCAGGTAGCTCACTTGGTTAGAGTGTTGTCCTGGTACACCAAGCTTGCTGGTTAGATCCCTGTTCAGGGCACATACAAGAAGCAACCAATGAATGCATAAATAAGTGGAACAACAAATTGATGTTTCTCCCTCTGTCTCTCCTTTCCTCTCTAAAATCAGTAAATTTTAAAAAGTTAAAAAAAATTAGAGTATTAAAAAATATATGTATATATGTATACACACACACACAAGCAAGCACTTTATCAAAGTAGAAGTAAAGGTGGTCTTGTCTAAACTCTCTCCAGTAATTAGCCCTGGCCGGTTTGGCTCAGCGGTTAGAGCGTCGGCCTGCGGTCCAGAGAGACCCGGGTTCGTGTCCCGCTAAGGGCATGTACTTCAGTTGCAGTTTGTCCCCGGGGTCGTGTGGGTGGCAGCGTGTGGGTGGCAGGCACTCGATGTGTCTCTTTCATGTCAATGTTTCTCTCTCTCTTCCTCTTTCTCCCTCCTTCTCTGAATAAAAAATGGGAAAATGTCCTTGGGTGAGGATAAAAAAATAAATAAACTCTCTCCAGTAATTAAAACAACATACCATTTTTGCCTATCAGATTGGCAAAGTAGCTTTGTTGGTTTGGTTATTATTATTATTATTATAATATTCATTTTAGATGAGGGTGTAAGAAAATGGCCATGATGTAGTAAGTGAAAAGAAGTAACTTACAAATCACTCTGTGCCATGTTGCCAAGTATGTTAAAATTTCCATAGGTGAGGCTAGAAAAAAGACTGCAAGGAAATGCACCAAAATGTTACATCTGCCTAATGGGATTATAGCGAGGTTTATTTTTCTCTATAATTTTCAGTTTTTAAATTTTTCTGACCACCATGTATTCCTTTTGTAGTTTTAATTAGTCTTTAAAATAATAATAATAATTTAAATATTTTAAGAACTCCTTACCCCAGGATATGTTTTTATTGATCTTTGGAGAGAGAAGCCTAGATCAGCTCTGCACCCCGGCCCATGTGCCCTGACCAGGGATTGAACCCACAACCCAGGCATGTGCCCTGACCAGGAATCAAACCTGCCACCTTTTGGTGCACGGGATGCTCCAACTGAGCTACCCAGCCAGGGCTCAAATATTTTTTATATGAGCATTTAAGGCATTTGATACATATTGCCAAATTGCCCTCCAGGAAAGTTGTACCAGTTACACACCCTCCAGCATTGTTCACTTTCATTTTTTTAATTCAATCAAATTTCGTTTTAGTTCACTTATATTTCTAATCTTGTTATATGTTGTATCCCTTTTCATTATTTCTTTGGGGTTCCAGCACCTCCCAATTTAGTATTCTCATTGAATTTCATTAGCAGCTGTTTCATTAGTAGCACAGGGGAAGGAATGAAGTGTTAACTAGAATAGACTTTGACAAAAATGTATGTTTTCATCTTTGCATAAATCATATTTATTCAAAGTTCCTCAGAAACCTCTCTTTTGTACTTAAGGGTCAGAACTGACCACTGGTGATATTCTAGACCTTGGTATGTGTGGTTCTGCCTCAGTGAGAATGGCACATTGGTGATGTTGCTGAATTCATGTCATAACAGGTTTAATGAGGTTCTGTGTAGGTTCAGATCAGTTCACTGCCTATTGCTTCCGGTCTTCAACAACCAAGGGATCTTCTTTCAGTTTGGATCCTTGGTTACTTGAGATACACACAGATTTCTTGTTTTGTAAAATATCTACCAGAATAGGTACATATTGGAAGTACTGTAAATGAATCCTCTTTTCTTTACTTGAATCCCATTTTTTATGTACTAGGGATGCCCAGCCAGTGTGGCTCAGTTGATTGAGCATCGTCCCATGCACCAAGAGGTCACTGGTTCAATTCCTGGTCAAGGCACATTCCCAAGTTTCTGGTTCAATCTCCAGTAGGGGGCGTGCAGGAGGCAGCTGATTGATGCTATATTTCTCTCCCTCTGCCTTCCTCTCTGAAATCAATTAAAAAAAACACACACAAAAAACATTAAAAAAATAAAATGCAGAAAAATAATAATAAATAAATGCACTAAGGATATTAGCAAGGTACATTTTGATAAAGACTCATTCTCCCTCTTTTTTTTCTTTTATGCATAAAATGTCACATTAAATTTGGTGATAAGGTATGTGCATATTCTCACTTTCTCAACTAAGAGATGACTAATGCAAAATATTGAATGATTTTTTAAAAATCAATACTTAATTTTTTAGAAATAATTAGAGACTCAACTTTGACATAAATACTCTCCCCCACTCAGTTCTTGGGCCTACTTCTCTTAGAGGATAACCAATAAATGATTAATGAAGCTGGCATTACTCACTGTATTGTGATCATTTTTTTCTGGGAAAATCTTAGCAGCTGTTCTAATATAGATTGCCAGTTATCAGTAGTTGGGAATGCAAGTCAACTTTTAATTATGCAGAGGCTGATTATTCAGACCACAAACTGTCCATGCCCGGTGCTGCTCCTTCCTGCTGCCTACCTTTCAGCATTTTCACTGCTCATTAGCACGTATACCAGAAGGGAGGCATTGGGCAAGGGGGAGGAGGGGACACTAAAAGCGCTTAGAAGCTCTGATGAAAGATTTCAATACAATTTGTAGAATTGTTGACTAAAATTGAATCATTTGGATTCTCTGTGAATTTTATTTGTTCTGTTCATGTCCTCCATAGCAACAGATAATAGCATGGTCTAAAGAGAGACAATATTATTCCCATAATTCATGTTTTCCCTTCTAGAACAATTTCACATGATGGTTCATGATATTTTCTCTATTCATTACCTTTGTACCTAGACTACTTGATTTCTTTGGAGGTTGGTATATTGAGATTCCTGGCATACACAGTGATACCACAATTATCTGATGGCTTTTCAGTTTTCCAGGAAACTGAAAGTTTCCCTTTAAGTGCCAATATCTTTCATATTCCAAGCAGTTTTGTTGGAAATACGATTTCCTCATCCTTAAACCAAGGCCACTGAACACAAATTAAGCCTTTCTGGATGCCCCAGATTATCTGTATACTGTGCCTGTTCCTGAGATATGTATGGCTGTTACAAAAACCCACACAGGTCCTGTCCATCTAGTAACCTCCGGTGAAATGAAATGTTGCAATTGTAGTAAAACTCGATTGGTGCAGGATTTCTGTTTGCCTTAAGGCTATTATTCTTGTGTAAGTTTTCTGCCTCCTCCTCCAGTCTGTCACCAGTGTCTTTGGTCATTGTCAAAACCTGCCTCTTGTTAATTCTCTGTTTCTGGGCTGTTGTGGGCTAAGAAACTGAAAAACGAAGCCAGTTAGAACTGTGGCTAAAATAAGAGCAGGTAGGCCTGCTCCAGAGTACAAAGAGCTCACATAGGAATATAAGTGCATGAGCTTCGGTGCAGAAATAGCCTCACTGCTTAGAGACCTTTTTCTTCCTCCCTAATTTTCAATCATGTAATTAAATTGCTGGTTATTTGTGTTTCAAAGAAGACATTGTTTAAAAAAAAAAAAAAGACATTGTTTGGGACATGAGACTATCTTGAATAGAGCTAGTTCAGAATTTTTTTTCAGTGAGGACTACTGCTGACTAATTTCCCATAAAGTTGGACAAAGGGCAGAATGAACAGGTGAGCATAAGAACTATTGATTTTAAAAAATATATTATAAGCTGTTTAGTTTTGGATAGTTATTAGTTTACTTATTCTGTTAACCAACCAAAGACCAGTTAAACAAAAGCACTAAGACTATGAAAATCTTTGGGAAGTGCCCTTAGCCAGTGTAACTCAGTTGGCCGAGTGTCGTCCCATGCACCAAAAGGTCACAGGTTCCATTCCTGGTCAGGTCACATGCCTGGGTTGTGGGCTCAATCCCCAATAGGGGGCATGCAGGAGGCAGCCCATCGATGTTTTTCCCCTCTCCCCTGTCTCAAATCAAAAACATTTTTTAAAAACCTTTGGGAAGTAAACTCAGCAGGTACTCTAGTTTCTGTGCCTTCGTGAACATCATGAAGGTGTCTACCTAGAAAGCTCCCTACTGATGATAATCCCTTTTTATTATTTTTTATAAACTCTGATCTTTGGGTTTTTGTGATATTGAGACACAGTGGTTAGGTTCCAGGATTCCAGTGGAGTTTTTCATGTGTTCATTTGCTTCGCTTCCTGGGGACCAGAGTTTGCTGTGAGTCATGTTCCATCTGATTTATATTAGATCTGACTGAGGAGCTGTGATTCAGATGGGCGTCAGGCCCAATTGCCCAGCTCATCTTCTGAGGAATGGAAGGTGAGGGTGAGGCCAGGACTAATGTACTGACACATTTTGCCTTTTTCTCTTTGGACCCTCAGGATCTGAAGAGAACATCGTTACCGACAGCAGGCAGGTACGCCTTGCCACGGGCCTCTTCCCCGTTGTCAGCCTCCTGAACCATTCCTGCAGCCCCAACACCAGCGTGTCCTTCCTTAGCACTGTCGCCACCATTCGGGCATCGCAGCAGATTGGAAAAGGGCAAGAGATTCTCCACTGTTATGGTGAGCCACTCCTCCTCACTGTCTACCTCGGCCAGCAGAACAGGAATTAGAATCAGCAGGAATTGTTTTCTGGAAGGAACAGTGCACACTTGAGGGGAGAGCTTCTTGCTGGGCACTGTCGTGTATGTCACTGCATCATCCCCCTAAACTTCCTTTTCTGAAACTGGGCTAGAAACAGCTTTTGGTTTTTTCTTCCTGTCCCGCAACTTGGATGCCTCATTCCACAAATGTTTGAGTAAAGGGTACCTGTCACGTGATGAATAATTAATCAGACCCTCTGCTAAGTGGAAGTTTTTTAAGTAGTGCCCCCGGTCCTTCACCGGTTTAATTCAGCTGTTAGAGTGTCGGCCTGCAGACCGAAGGGTGATGGGTTCAATTCCTGGTCAAGGGCACGTACCTGGGTTGCAGATTCGCTCCCCAGCCCCAGGGCTGTGCGGGAGGCAACTAATTGGTGTGGATACATCAATGTTTCTCTCTCTCTCCCTCCCTCCCTTCCACTCTATCTAAAAAAAAAAAATCAGTAGAAAAATATCCTCCGGTGAGGATTCACACAAAAATAAAGTAGTGCCTCTCTTTAAAAATAAATAAATAAATAAAAATATAAAGTAGTGCCTGACTCTCTCTTGCTTTAAATATTAGCCAAATGTGATCTCTTTGCAGGGCCTCACGAGAACAGGATGGGAGTTGCTGAAAGGCAGCAGAAGCTGAGGTCTCAGTATTTCTTTGACTGCAACTGCCTGGCTTGTCAGAAGGAAAAGCCCAGAGCCGCCGCAGGGCCCCCGTGGGAAGCGTTCTGCTGTAACAGTTGCGGAGAACTCATGCAGGTGAATCTCTTCTTCCTGTCTTCTCACCTTCTATAGGGCAGTTATCCAGCCCCAAGGCTATATACCTTTAAGAGGAAGCCATTGGGGCTCACAGGTGCTGAGAGCAGTCGTCTGTCTTCCCTTGCAGCCCATCTTCCCCACATATTGATGACCACCCCCACCCCCGCAGGAGCCACAGTGAAAGGTCAGATTTAGTCATCTTACAAGGGAAAGATTTGCAAGAGCAAATAACAGAAAATCCCACCTAAACTGGCTTAAGGGGTTGGGGGGGAGACTGAGAATTTATTTGCTCAAATAAATCACTAAAAGGTCCCAGGGTAGAGGCACTTTAGATACATCTTGATCCAGGGGCTTAGGTAATGTCACCAAGACCCCAGGTTTTCTCTCTGCCTCCCTCAGCTCCCTTTTCTGCATTAGCCCCATCCTCAGACAGATGTCCCTCGTGGTGGCAGAACGACCATAAAACCCCCACTGGTCTAACAGCGGTCTGGGCAAAACATTTTTCAGTTTTCTTGACCCGATTTCTGCAGCTGGAGAAAAATCAGAGTCAAATAATTTTCCTCTGGCCATTTGGGCAGAGGACTGTGCCAGATCTGAGCCACACACACACACCTCAGCTGCCAGGCATTGGCTGGGGTGGGGGGTCCTCAGGGGAGGTCAGGCTGCTGTTGCCGAATGAAGGCATAGATACTGGCAGCTGAAAACGCTGCAAGTGCCCGCCTCCGAGATTTCTCCTGCACAGAGGATACAGCTTTGTTAAGGAACCGTAAGTGGAGCGTACAGCTGGTTGTGTTGGGAGCTGGAGTTCCAGACCTAAGGTCAAATGGAGGGAGGCCCCACCCGGAACCTTTTCCTACTGCTTTTCTTACGGCTTTTTCGTAACTACTAGAAATGTGTCTGGCATCCAAAGAGATGAGAGAGGGGCTGTCGAGATGGGAAGAAACTGTGGACTGTTCCAGTTTAATTTGGGTTGTAAAAATTAAATCTTGGGTGGGGGGTGGAATTGGTCCCTGCTTTCATTAGAATTGCTGCTGTCAAAGCAAGTTCAGCCAGGCTTCAGCCACAGCGTGTTAGTGCAGGAGTCTCTTCCCCCATCGGGTCAGAAGCTGTGGAGCGGTCCTGGAGTGTAAGCACATGCAGGCTTGCTAACCAGCTCTGATGCAGGAATAAAGACAAAGCTGACGTCCACAGGGAGGTGATGTGCTGAGCTGTGGCCACGCGTCCTGCACGGAGTCAGCCAGCAGGGACCACCTGGTCTCACGGTTACAGGACCTTCAGCAGCAGGTTGGGACGGCCCGGAAGCTTCTCAGAAATGGTAAATTAGGTGAGCCTGGGCCCCTGCTTGGTCCTCCAGCCCCTTCCTTTTTTGTCATTCTGAGAAACCGTGGACTCAAGGATACTCGGTCATGATTGAAGAGGGTATATAATTATCCCCAAGCCAGCCACAAGATGGCTGTGTAGGCCAAGGAGACCAAACCCTAACCAGTCTAGTTGGTGTGGTCCTGGAAAAAGGCCCAGATGATTTTTTTTTTAAAATATGTTTTTATTGATTCTTTTAGAGAGAGAGGAAGGGAGAGAGAGAGGTAGAAACATTGTTGTGAGAGAGATACATCTGCATGTGCCCTGACCAGGAATCAAACCAGGACTCCTCAGTCCACGGGACAACCCTCAATCCACTGAGCCGCACCAGCCAGGCCCAGATGATTTTTATGTATGAATTTTTTAAAAATATGTTTTTATTGATTTTTTTAGAGAGAGAGGGAAGGAGAGAGAGATAGAAACATCGATATGAGAGAGAAACATCTACCAGCTGCCTCCTGCACGCCCCCTACTGGGGATCGAACCTGGGCATGTGCCCTGACCAGGAATCTAACTGGGATGTCTCAGTTCATAGGATGATGCTCAATCCACTGAGCCACACCAACAGGGTAAGGCCAGATGATTTATGGACATTTTTTTTTTTAATCCTCAACTGAGGATATTTTTCCTGGTTTTTTTTTTTTTTGTTCAGCTAGAGTGGGAGGGAGAAAGAGAAAGAGAGGGAAAGAGAGAGAAACATTAATGTGAGAGAAACACATCGACTGATTGCCTCCTGCACAACCCAACCAGGGCCGGGGATGAACCGCAACCAAGGTACATGCCCTTGACCGGAATCAAACCTGCAACTCATTGGTCCGCGGGCCGATGCTCTACCACTGAGCCAGACCGGCAGGGCAGGCCAGATAATTTAAGCTGTAGTTCTCTTATGCATCAGACAGCTAAGTTCAGCCATGACAACTAAAGGATTATCCCTGCCATCTGTGATCTTTGTGCATATTCCAGAAGTTCAGTGTCATTTTAATGCCTGGGCCTAGTGACCTAATTTCCTAGAGAGATTGTTCTGCCCTCATCAGAGTCACATTTCTCTTTTTTTAATCCTCACCTGAGGATATTTTTACCATTGAATTTTTAGAGAGAGTAGAAGGGAAGGGGGGTAAGAGAGAGAAAGAGAGAAACATCTATATGAGAGAGACACATCAGTTGGTTGCCTTCCACAAGCACCCTGACCAGGGCCAGGGATCAAACCTGCAACCCAGATATGCGCCCTTGACCTGGAATTGAACCTGCCACCCTTTGGTGCATGGGCTGATGCTAACCCTGGGCCACACTGGCCATGGCCAGAGCCTCATCTTTCTTCTAAGATCAGGGGGCCAGTGCCCAGTGGATGTAAGTATCCTGCTTTTCTCAGAGAGGAGCTGTGGAACTCCTCATTACCCTTGCAGCCTCCGCCTCAGAGCTCGTGTGATGGGGATTTATTTACCCTACTTTATGAAAGTTCACCTTCAGCTTAGATTTCTCAGTCAAGAGAAATAATGACCATAAGTGGAATGTATTGTTCCACTTCAGACTGAAGTTGGACACCCAGAGTAAATGTGGGGAGGCCTCACCCAGCACTTTTTCTATTGAAAGAGAAAACATAAGAGAACAACAGCTTTATTGGAACAAACCTGGTGGTGGGTCACAAGAAGACAAATTGGCATTTTCCTGTTTAGCCCAGCTAATACAGAATTTAAGGGCTGGGCGTATGTCGGTAATGAGGCCACGTTTCTTTGCTTCGAATTGACAGAGCGAGCCATTCAGCTGTTGTTGGGGTGCCAGCATGATGCTGAGCGCTTCCTGTCAGCGGAACACAGCGTGGTGGGAGAGATCGAAGATGGCCTGGCCCGGGCCTATGCTACTTTAGGTATGTTGCGTGTCTGTTTTCTGCTCCAGGGAACAAGTGTGCCTGGTGTGTTTGGTCGTGACCTCATCTGGTTCGTTATCTCTCAGTCTTTCAACTGAGGCTGCTCTCCCTTCCATTTCCCTTTCCTCGCCCCGGAAATGTTCGTCCACAGTTGATTGTGGTCCTTTTCTGGAACCAGATTATTATTTCTTCACAGGGGACTGGCAGAAGTCAGCTACCCATCTACAGAAGAGTCTCCGAGTGGTCGAGGTTCGCCACGGGCCCTCCAGTGTTGAAATGGGCCATGAGCTCTTCAAACTGGCCCAGGTCTTTTTCAACGGGTAGGTCTTTCTCCTGTTTCCTAGCACGTCGCCAGGCCACGCACTGCGCTGTCTTTTATTAGGCTCTGCTGTGTATGACTTTTTCTCTGTGGCTTTTCAGCATGTTGAAGCTTTATTTCTCCTTTAGGAGAGATCCTTTCCTTCTGTTTTCCTGATTACGTTGAAGCCTTAGGATTTTCTCCCGAGAGCTATGGGGAAAGCTCTTAGCTCTGAGGGAGTTTCCTTAGCAGAACTGCCAGGCGGCCCCACCTCCCGCCGACATGGCTGTTCTTCCCAGTCCTCCCTGGTGGCTCACACCTCCCTCGGCGCTCTCCTTGGCAGCACCCTCGGCTCCCGGGGCTCTTCCTTCTCCCTGGTCCTGTTCTGCTTAAAGCAGTTGTTTTCAACCAGGAATAATCTCCCAGGAGGCATTTGGAAGTGTCTGGAGACATTTTGCATTGTCATAGCTCAGAGTGGAGGCCAGAGCTGCAGCTGAACATCCTATAAATGCAAACGACAGTCCCTACAGCCAAGGATTATCCAGCTTATGAATGGTGGGTAGGCTTGGTTCCCGAGGCACAGAGGCGGTCTGTTTGCTCAGAGAGAGGAAAGGGCTACAGACTTATTTCATGGGTGGACTTGATTACCCTCAGATGAAGACTCCTGAGTAAACCTTGGGGTAAATATCAGATTAATGCTTTGAGGTTTGCCTGTTTCTCAGGATCCTAATCTCTTCATACTTTTTTTGTTGTTATTTCTTTGTTCTCCGGCTCTGCCTTGCAGTGTGTTTGTGAAAGTTGTCTTATCTGCCCTTTTAGACTGTAAGATCCTTGAGGGCAAAAATGATCTTTACGTTCTTCACAGGGTGTGGGTAGGCCCTCAGTTAATGTTTGCTTGACTGCTTGAGTAGATTCACTTCCCCCACCTCCCTTGGTTCAGGTTTGCCATACCCGAAGCTCTGAACACAATACAAAAGGCAGAAAAGGTTCTATTGGTACACTACGGCCCTTGGAATGACGAGATCCAGGAGCTACAGAAGATGAAGTCGTGTTTATTGGACCTGCCGCCCATCCCTGTGGGGCCTCCAGTGTAGGGTCCCAAGAGAACTTTGACCCACAGGAAAGGAGCCGTGGAAGATGAGCTGAAGCGTCTGAGGCGTGGGGAGCACTTGGAAAGCATTGCATTTGGAGAGATGCTCACCTATTTTGATGACTGTTTCTTGAAATTTACTGCCTGCCCTTCAGTAAAAAGTCCCAGTTCCCAGAAAAGACTTAAAACTAGTGCCTGGAGAGCCTAGCCCTTTTCAAGGATTTTAGCTCGTCTGCAGGCCTCTGGATGCGGGCCTGGGGTTTTGGCGTGATGCCACCTCACTAAAGGATGGTAGTCTGTTTCCTTGGGACATTCCTATGGTTTCTAGTAGTAATGAAATGTTGTGTACCACTCCGGCGGGAACTCAAACTCTTAGTAGTTGTATGGTAATTGAAAAATAATTGTAAAGCAAGAAATCAGTGAGGCTCCTTACTCTAGAGACAGTTACACTTAATGGTATCTAACTTCCTCAGATCCTTTGTTAAAGCCAGTGGCGCATAAACCGTGAATAGAGAAATAAATATGGGGCCGTTTTATGGTTGGGCAATATCTTCCTAGGGTGGCAACTCTAAATTTGTTTTCTGCCGACTTTCCAGTCCTGATGATCTGGTTTTCATCCTGTACTCTTGGCAGACTCATGACCAGATACTAATAAAATTAGGCGTGTGCCGGTAATCGTACCACGTGTGCCTCCTGTCTTGAGTTTTTTGCAAGCCTGAAAAGAGGACTTTTTTTTTTTTTTTTTAACCAGACCTCCCCAAGCTGGCAAATGAAATGCAAACTACATAAGTACTGGGCAGGGGGGACAACCCTCAGAAGATCCTGAGGGTATGGGCATTACCACTTGTGGTTTCAGACTGAAGAGACAGAGGTAGGGGTGATTACCCTCTTCTGGCTGGATGTGTACAATGGTCTAGACCTCGTCCTGGTCAGAGGGCTGGAGACTCTCGGGATCTGAACCCCAGTGGCGTATCATCACTGTGACCAAGTGGTTAAGATGAGTTAGTGGGAAAGAATGCCAGGCCCACACTGCTTTGAGAGCTTGCTCACCCTGGCGGTGCCTCAGAGGTGCCCGTTGGCTGCCACAGCATTATAACCAGGAAATGAATAGCCCTGAAGATGCCTGGCAGAAGTTTGGAACACGGTTCATAATGCAACATTTGAATGAAGGGCAGGCAGAATCTTTTTCTTATTTTTATTTTTTAGAGAGAGAGAGATAGAAACATCGATGTGAGAAACATCAATCAATGGTTGCCTCCCACACGCCCCCTACTGGGGATGGAGTCTGCCACCTGGGCATGTGTCCTGACGGGGAATCAAACCCTGACCTCTCGATTCATGGGACAGTGCTCAATCCACTGAGCCACACTGGCCAGGCATATTTATTTTCTTTTCTACTAACTCAATACGGCAAGGCAATGGCCAGTGAGATTTTTTGGTGGCGCTAACTTTTTTTTTTCTTTATTGATTTTAGAGAGAGAGGGAGAAAGAGAACGAAACATCGATGAGAGAGAACATCGATTGGCCACCTCCTTCATGCCCCCCACTGGAGATTTGGCCCACAACTTGGGCATGTGCCCTGACCAGGAATCGAACCAGCAACCTCGTGGTGCATGGGTTGATGCTCAACCACTGAGACACACCAGCTGGACAGTAGAGCTAACTTTTTCAAGAAGAAAAATTTAGCCCTGTGAACAACGTTTCAAACACTCGGCATGTTTTACGTTCCTGAAAAAGCTCCTGTTATACTTTGTAAAATAGGCATACTTCCTTAAAAAGATGTTTAGAATTTTTACGTCAAGTCCCATTTTTATATGTACTTGAAAGATTTCTTTAAATGCTTTATAAAATAGCCCTGGTCACTGTGACTCAGTTGGTTGGAGCATCGTCTCTGCACCAAAGTGTCACAGGTTTGATTCCCAGTCAGGGCACATACCCAGGTAGCGAGTTCGATCTCCAGTTAGGGTGCATGTGGGATGCAACCAGTCGAAGTTTCTCTCTCCTCCTTTCCTCTCTCTCTCTCTCAATAAAAAATTTAAACATATCCTTGGGGGAAGATTTTTAAAACTGCTTTATAAAATAAAGAATTACTTTCAGATTACAAAATACCTCCCTTATCTATCCAAGTGTTATCTCATGTTGTCAGGTGACATTAACTTAACTGGGGAAACCTGTGCTTGCATTAAAACCTAAAGTCTGGCCCTGGCCGGTTTGGCTCAGCGGTTGGAGCGTCGGTCTACGGTCCTGAGAGACCCGGGTTCGGTTCCCGCTGGGGGCGCGTACCTCGGTTGCAGTTTGTCCCCGGCCCTGGTCAGTTGTGCGGGTGGCAGCCACTCGATGTGTCCCTTTCACGTCGATGTTTCTCTCTCTCTCTCTGTTCCTCTCTCTCCCCTCCACTCTACCTGAACAAAAAATGGAAAAATGTCCTCGGGTGAGGATAAAAAAATAAATAAAACCAAAAACCTAAAGTCTGGCCCTGGCCAGTTTGGCTGAACGGTTAAAGCGTCGGCCTGTGGTCCAGAGAGACCTGGGTTCGGTTCCCACTAAGGGCATGTACCTCGGTTGCAGTTTGTCCCTGGCCCTGGTTGGTCATGAGGGTGGCAGTTACTCGATGTGTCCCTTTCACATTGATGTTTCTCTCTCTCTCCCTCTCCCTCCCACTCTATCTGAACAAAAGATGGAAAAATGTCCTCGGATGAGGATTAAAAAAAAAACCAAAAAACCTGAGGTCTGGCGCTGGCCAGTTTGCTCAGTGGTTAGAGTGTCAGCCCTCGGACCAAAGAGTTGTGGGTTTGATTCCAGCCAAGGGCACATACCTTGGTTAGTTTGTTCCCCAGCCCTGGTCAGGGTCGTGTGGGAGGCAGCCAGCCCATGTGTCTCTTTCACACTGATGTTTCTCTCTCTCTCTCTCCCACTCTTATCTGAAGATAAATGGAAAAATATTTTTTTCATTTTTTTTGTTTAATCTTCACCCGAGGACATTTTTGCATTTATCTTCAGATAAAGCAGGAGGAAGAGAGAGAAAAAAACATCAATGTGAGAGAGACACATAGACTGGTTACCACCCACATGACCCCAACCAGGGCTGGGGACAAACTGCAATTGAGGTACATGCCCTTAGCTGGAACCGAACCTAGGACTGTCTGGTCTGTGGGCCGAAGCTCTAAACACTGAGCAAAACCGGCCCGGGCTGGAAAAAAGTCTGGCGCTGGCCAGGTACCTAAGTTGGTTGCAGCATTGTCCCGTACACCAAAAGGTTGCAGGTTTAATTCCCGATGATGGCACATATGGGAGGCAACCGATCAATATTTCTCTCGTATATTCATATTTCTCTCCCTCTCTCTCTAAAAATCAGTAAGATGAGGATTAAAACAACAAATATACTAAAGTCTGGTTTATTTAAGATAGTGGAGCCAGGAAATGCCCTCCCGGGGGCATTAGTGGTCTTAGTATGTAAACATTCCAGAGCAGAGAACCAGTCCCTGCCTTATACAATGCAGATAACAAAATTCTTATAAATGGTGACTTTCTGCAGAGTTTAGATAGACCCAGGCTAGAAGTGCAGGACCACAAAATTCCTAAAGGGCAATTTATCTGCATATTATACAGAACACAGCTCAAAATAGGAGGAACGGGGTAACAAAAGTTAAGGATAAAGCACTTTTATTGCAAAGTATACATTGAAACATTATAGGAGTAGCCTTCTTGTAATGTATATTCTGCCATCCCTCTAGGGTTTCTTTTTTCTTCTGGAGTAATTGGACATTAAACTGGAGCATTAAGTGCCCCTAGGATCCAGGATTTTGCCTATGAAGAGAAGAGCCCCTGTGTCCGTGTCCCTCAGCACAAAGATGAAAGGCTGGTTAAGGTGATAGTCCAGGGGGAAGGTGAGGCGAGCAGGCTGGAGCTCCGGGCTGGGGGTGGTGGCCGCTCCATCCTCATTCCACTCAAAGCCAGCCCTGTGTTCCACTTGAGTAAGTTTGATAGATTTGCCCGAGATCTTGCTGAAGTCTGGCAAATCGAACAAGGACTGCAGCTCTGCAGAGATTGAGAGGGATTTCCATTAAAACCCTGTCTTATCCAACACCCCAAGGAAGAATACAGCCTGATTCCTAAATCCTGCTCCAAGGAGGTAAGCCAGCTGGGAGTGGAACACCACTTTGACCTTTTGTGAGATACAAAGGGCTCCAGTTAAAGGCTGAGTGATTTGCCCAAGAGCACAGAGCAATTGAGGTTAAGATTAGGAACCAGATCCACAGACCTGCCTCGAGAGGCAGGTTATAGGATGTATGGTCATGGGGCTAAGGAATGAGTCTGATGAGGAAGGCGGCTCAGCCTCCTCCAGCACTATGTATGAGAACTGAGGAATCACCCGTGGTCTCCCTACAAAGACTCACCCCACCCACCCCAAAAGCAAAGGAGCCTTGCAGACGTACTCATCTCCTGCAGGGACTTAGTGACCTCGCCTTCGTAACTCAGCTTCAGCTTGGGGACGGTCAGGACTGCTTGAACAGTCTTCAGTTCTCGGTCTATGTCATGAACGAACTCGGAGGTGAGGCTCTCTTCTATCATGGTCAAGTTCTGGGTCACTTTCAGAGGCAGGAAGAAGATGATACTCATGCTTCCCGTCAAGGGCAGCTGGGCAATCTGAAACAACGGGGAGGAAGCCGCACGGGTTAGTCCTTCCGAGGCTTGGAGCCTAGGGATAGACACGCACGGCCGGGTGCGTCTCTCCTGTGGTAGGGCCCTGGCCCCGCTGTGTCCCAGCCCCTAATCTGTTTAACGGTGGTTCCTCTTTAGCTTGTTGCCTTCTGGCTGCAAGATGTTTACTAATGTTCCTTCAAAAGGTTGACTTGTCTTTTCTTACCTTGACCTGATACCAACTGAAGTTATCTGCTGCAAGAATTTTCTCCTGTGATTCTAAGGAGCTAGAATTGAATTTTAGGTCTCTGTCTTCTCCCAAGATTTACCTGCCAACAGTTACCAGTCATGTGACATAGAGCGAGCCCAGGGCTAGAAGTGGGGGTGTTGGGCACAGCGACACAGAAGCAGCAATAAGGTGGGTCCTTTGAGTGGAGGTTTTTAACCTAAGGTCCATCCCAGGCCCCAAAAGCCCCTGAAATTATATACAGAAATGTGTGTGTGCACAGACGTGGCATTTCTTTCAAGTATTCAGGTGCTTTGTCAGATTCCCAAAGAAAAAGGTTAAGAACTACTGACTTAGAATTAAAAGAAGTCAGGCATAGGTGTGAAAGACTTAGAAGGTCAGCTCTTTGGAATTTCTGACAGTTTTTGAAGTTTGGCTTTGAATTCTAGAATGTTCCCACACAGGGGATTGGGCCCACAACCTGGGCATGTGTCCTGACTGGGAATCGAACCAGCAACCTCTTCCACTGAGTCGACGCTCAACCACTGAGCCACACAGGCCAGGCCTTTTGTTTCTTTTTTTAATCCTCACCTGGGGATATTTTTCCATTTTTGTTCAGATAGAGTGGGAAGGAGGGAGAGAGAGAAACATCATTGTGAGAGACACACATCGACTGGTTGCCTCCCGCACGACCCCAACCAGGGACAAACCAAAACCAAGGTGCGTGCCCGTGACCGGAATCGAACCTGTGACTCACTGGAACACGGGCCGATGCTCTAACCTCCGAGCCAAATTGGC